CCTTCCCCCTGTTGTTGCCAGGAGGGGGGTGGTGGGGGGGGGGGGTCCAACTTTCTCTTTGTTTTCCAGAATGAGCTCCTGCTGAGATCCTGCCAGGGAGATTAGGGAGAAGATTGGTGTGCATGGTTAGCAAGGGTGTCTGGCCTGAAAGCAGAGGAGGAACCATGAGATGACATGAGCCGAGTTAGGCTCACAGTATTACCATGCCATCTTTAATTAAGGTGCTGAGGCCCTGTGAGATGCTGTAGGAGCAACCTTGAGATGAATGCTACTCTGAAGTGCCAGCACTACTACGGCACTCTGGGCCATTGCTGTTGCATATTGTGAGAATCAGTATGAATCTTTTCATTTGGACATTGGGCAGAAAGCAGCCATAGTCACATTGTATTTCGGATCACTCTGGAAAGAAATGCTATGTTAGAGGGATAAAGTTAGCTTTTTTTCATAACTCTTTCTTATTTATCCTTACAGAATCCTTTCAAGTTGTGGTAAGAGGCAATGGCTTTTATCACGCAAGAAATATCGACCAGGTACTCTGCAGCTTCAAGCTCAATGACAGCCTTACTATCAGTAAGTTTCCAAGCTGGTGAGAGCTAGTGCCCCATGCGGTGATGTCACCTCGTGGGACACAGCCCACCTCCCACCCAAGGTGGGGATGCAACATTGCACTGGATGTGGGGGAGCTGGGTAGGAAACTATGCCTAGCAGAAGCTTGAATTCCATCCCTGTTCAATCCTGCGGCCTGTGGGCGTTGCTTTGTGAGGGCTTATGGGGGACATTCTGTTGCACAGTGAGTTGTGGCCTTATTGTAATGGTTCAGATGGGTGATGGATACAGCCAGTGGGGACTGGGTATCAGGTTTTAAGGGGGAGGAATAAAATCGCTCCCTATTCCCTTGTTTATCACCAGTTTAAAAAAAAACAAACAATACTGTTATGATCTTCTGGTGATATATTCAAACTGAGTCAGGAGATGCTCGCCATAGAGCAGGGCCCTTCTGTGCCTGGTCAGTTGCTCTGTGACGCAAGTCCCTGGTCTCATCATAGGGAGCTTGTAACGCGGACACTCACTGAAGCTGCTGTGCTAAACAGAGGCTTTTGTTTGGTGTCTCAGCAGCCAGGCAAAGGACTGAAAGGCCAAAAAAGATTGAGTGTCGAATTTTTCAGCAGTCTCTTATTCCCAAGTAGCAGTGTATGTCTGGCAGGGTAAAGCACGGTGTGGGGAGGGGAACTTTGCTCTTTTTCTGTATACGCTACCCTTGTTGGCTGAGCACAGTAGGGGCTTTTATACGCTGTCGCGGTCAGTCTGGTGCCTTCCCTAGCAGTGAATTCACTTTCAAGAAGGAGCATATGAATTGCTCCTTCATTTCCTATCCTGGCTGCCTACACGGAGGCTACATTAAATAAACTCTGGTGGTCTCATTCTCATTCCAGTTACAGATGCCCTCTGCCAGAGGTTTGTTTCTTGTGGTTTACCAGGTAGCCAGACTTCAGGCTTTTTCTTCGTTGTCCCTATTCTAAAGGCACCTTGACTGGATTTTGTATGGGGAGTGCTAGGGCTGACCTGCATTTGAAAGTACAGAAGAGGAAAACTACCCTGAGTCCACATCTTGTCCATGCTTTGTTTTCCTTGGATTAGGTCTGCAACAGCTGCAATCTAAAATTATGATGAGAGACTAATCTGTGCTGGCCAACTTTTTGCCCCCAGGTTGGCCCTAAATTCACCAGTATAACTTCCCTGCTTTAGCAGGGATGAAGATGTAGAAATTAGTTTTGTCTTCATGTGTGGTTGGGTGGGTGAAGCACGAAGCAGCAAGGGAGAACTCTTATGTTTTGTTGCTTGAATTTACCTGACTTGAGACTTGACTGCTCTTTCTGTTCAGGGAAAAATAATCAAGTACACATAAGCTAATAGTTTTTACCCACCCTAAATTCACATAGGGTGGACTCTTGTGGACCTGCTGGCTGGGTTGACTCCTCACTGTCTTTCTCTGGACATGTACCTTAGCTGCTTTGCTGGGCCATTCAGAGCTCAGCTGTAGTCACAGCAGTGACCTGCTCTGCTCTCATACCTCAACCACACACTTCTAGTGGGATGTACCACTAAAAGGTACAACGGAAGACCATTGCAGGACCTCCCCTCTGCGTTCTGGGGATTCGCCTTTGTGGATGTGAGTTTAGAAAGCAATAGCAAGGGTAAGCACTGCTGACCCTTGGAGCAGCAGAATGCAAGGAGGTAGCAAAGCACCCATTGCCTTGCTTTTGGCTCTGCCTATACCGGCCCCCTGGAAAACAGGACTGGTTGCAGGCACTGCTGCTGCAGAGGGAAATCTGGGAATGGGAGAGGCAGCAGCTACTGCAGGATGGGTCCTTGTGGTAACAGCAGTCCTAGCCCCACTCTGCCTGTCTCCCATGTATGACCCTCTATGGCTTTTCCTCCCTGGTCTCTCCACTTTAGCTTCTCCCCTTCTGTGTCCTTCCTTTTCTCTGGGCACAGACAACTCAGCCTTTGTCTCTCCTCTTTGCATGTATTTGGAGGTGTATAGAGTGCAATTTTGCCTGTGTGTCTGAGAAGTCTTGAGCCACCCCTGGGGTCAGAGTATTTGATATGAGTAAAGTTTAGGTGCACTTTTCAGATAGACAAGAGGAGTGTTACAGAGCCAAGTACTGGGATAACTGTTCCTGTTGATACCAGTATAACATTAGCAGGCTAGAAATACCACAGCTAGGAAATGGAAGAATATTGCTGTCCCTGACAGCAGTTATCAGCCATTTTGAAGCCAACTTTGAGTAACCGGTACCACTGGGTAATGCTGACCCTTGCCCATATGCTGAATTCATCTGTGGCCCTCACTGAGGTCAGTACTTCTCCAAGGGGTGGCCTGCTTGAGACATTTTCTGCTTTACATCCCTGACAGTAATTTTCATTTCTTTTCAGATGAAAAGCCGACCGTTGTTCATGATACTTATTTGCTTTGTCCTGCCCCAGTGATAGAAGATGCTGGACAGTAAGTATTGTTTTCCAGCAAATGTTAAGAGAGAGGGGATTTCTAGATGAGGAAGTCGTTACTAAGCCAGAGGCTCAGAGTTTTGCCCAAAGTGCCCAACTAAGAAGACTTACTTGTGATAGGAATAGAGCTATCCCTTATGTGCCAAATCCCCTCCTGGTATGAGAAAGAATAGCCCCACGCTGGGCTGGGTCTTTGGCACAGCTTAATCAAAGGCCCTTTTGGTTCACGTCCCCATATTGTGACCATGCAGTGCTGAGAGTGAAGCTGGCATGAATGGTGCTGTGGTGCCGGTGTGGGGGTTTTTTGTTTTGTTTTTTTGTTTTTGTTTTTTTAAAGCTCTCTGGTGCTCTCAGCCAGTCTAGTACCCTCAGTGGAGCAGTGCTGGACAGGGCACACCATGCAAGAGGTGGAGGGGGTCAATACCTGTGTATGTGGTTCCCTGGGGGGTTGTGGGGAGTATTGCAGCCACATATATTATTGTAGCTAAAGGAGGAAAAAGATGGTCTTAAAAACTTAAAGTCCCACATCAACTGGGCCACAATCATCCTTGCTTCCTTGTGACCATGTCTTACTGTCTGTAGAGATGCAGATGTCTGCAATGTGTTGCTGTGCATCTCATTCTGCTTTAATGGATGCTGGTGGATGTTAGGATTGCCCCTTCTGTTGCATCCTGCCCAGGGCTTCAAATCTGCAGCAAGAACTGCAATGCAGCAAGGTGTTACTGTGCTGCATCTCCACAACTTCCGAGCTCCACCTGGAAGAGATTTCCTGATAGGACATCTTGGAAGTCCTATCCAGGTCTGGTCCAGTCCAGGTGGTGTTCTGAGGCTGTCAGCTTTGAATTGACTTGGAGAAACTAGAGTAATAAGAAAAGTCAGGAGGAGTATGTTCTGGATGCTAATGGGGAAAATGGGAAGAAGAATTTTGAATGCACACATGTGATTTCTCCTGTGTTCCTTGCTCCCATTTTTCAGACCAAAAGTTGATTGAATTCTAAGCAAACTCTTCATTTTGATTAAAAAGAAAAGAGATACTTGATTTAAATTCCTTTGCTGCTGTTGTAGATGTTATTTCCTGTTTTTTGCCTTGCTCTGCTCTTGCTAGTATTGGCATTTTTCAGCTGTTTTAATCTCCCAGACTCCTGAGTGAGATGGCACAAGGCCCTGACTTCCACCATGGTGATCTTTGGTCTTCTGGGTGCTTACATATGTATTGAGGGTGAGGTGGGAATGCTGTACTTGTAGGTAATTGTAGGGAGGAAAGTTTAAGTAAAGCCACAAAGAGACAGCTTAGAACAGCTGCCAGGGTGGTGTAAATTCTCAGGCCCCTTCTATAATACTGGAGAATGACTGGAGCCAGATTATGCTTTAATTTCACTGACATTTCAGTGTTCTTCCCTGACCTCTGCGGAGGTACTCTGGCTTTACCTGGTTATAAAAGGAAACACAGTCTGTCTCTTTAAGCTGCAGAAGGTGGGCTTGTCGGGGGGAAGCAAAACCTTAAAGAAGTTTCTTGTGCTATCTAGGCTAGTATTGCAAATGTCTGAGACTACATTATGACTCACTGTCCTAGTGCCCTTTGCCCCAGGTGGGATGAAGCCTGTTTTAAAAAGAGCGTATGCCCCAGCTCAATTAAGCCAACATAAAAAGGCTGGCTCCTGGGCAAGCAAAGAGACAAAGGCAGGTAAGCACCTGGAGCCATGAAACTGCCTTGACTCAGCAGGACATGTTACCCATGCGTGTTCATGAGCCAATGGCTAAAACACAGCTGGAATAAAGGGAACAATGGTTATAAAGATGACACTAAAAATAAGTGTGTCTGTTTGTGCTTTAGGGTGGTTTTCCTACAAGTCAGCATGAACAACGGGCTAACATTCATCTCCAGCTCTGTCAGCATCACCAGCACACAATGTGTAAGTAATTGCAATGGGGCTTGACAGAGAAACCATGAGATCTTGGAAAGAGACGGCTGCTCTTCAGGCAAAACCTTCTTGAAAGAGCATGAGCTCTCTACGGCTTCTGCATCAGAGTTATTGACTGGATCCTAGGAAACCTTTGAAAAATAACTAGAGCCGGTTAAGATTAAATTATTATTGATGATGGATGGATTATTGAATAAGCAATTACAACCAAAGATTCCCTGCCTATTCCTGTCCCAGGGAAGAGAGATCTTCACATCTAGGATGTTACTAGAAGGGAATCCGTGAAAACCAGGGGATGAGCGTCAGGAAGCAGCACCCTGTAGAGCATTAGGATCCACTATGGGATCTAAGGTGGAAGATGTAACTGTTAGGGCTTGGATGCAGGAGGGTCATAGCATGCAAGAGCCTCTCAACTGTCATGGTTATTTTTTGCTCGGAGCTTACAGCATTGGTTCTTAGACCTCCTCAGTTTGCCTCCGCTGTAAGGTGTTTTTGCAGTTTTAATGGCAGGAGGTGGTTGCTTCTCTTGCTGTCATGGGGGAAGACTCAGAGGAGTTCAAAGCCTCAGATCCTGGGATGAGCTTCTTGTTAATGGGCCATCCTACAGCCTAGCCAAGGGAGTGCGTGCTGCTGGGGGGAAGTGATGGCTGTGACACGTGTTGCTCTGAGGTGATGTCAAAAGACAACCTAGGCCCAGGAAGAGGGTCAGGGATCGACAGCTAGAGGTGATCCTGTAACAAAATCTGGTTTTAGAATCAAATAATCAATATGAAGAAGCTGGCTATTTGTAGATAAGCAGTCATCTTCCTTGCCTTGGGCTAAGAATAGGTGACACCCGTAGCTGGTGTGAGTTAGCATCATTACGTTATCATTTATTAGTACCGGAAGATTTGGCCCTGTGCGTATGGACTACAAAAAGCTTGCCAAAGTACCTAATGCCAAGCATTTTGTATCAAAGTTGAGCTTTTTTATTAAAAGGATTTTTGTAGCCTACACGAAATGCTGTCATACTGGTTTGTAGTCACTGTTGCCCTTTTTGACAGCTGCAGAGCAGAAGGGCAAGAATGAGGATAAAAAGACAGCAATGGTAACTTGCAAATTTGATTTTCTGATGTTTCCAGCAATGAAGCTGGGAAATGTCACACTAGATTGAAACAGTCCAGGGTATGGGGACTCGGAATTTATCAGAGATGTTTTTACTGCTTCACCTGATTTTATAAATTCTTCCTCCAAGTTTTCTACACAGAAAACTGACATTTTCACATTTTACAGCCCTCTTCTACCTTAGGTACAATGAAACCTTTTTAGTCTGCAGTGAAACACAAGTGTTAACTGGTGCATTCAGTTACCCATACATCATTTATTTCTAATGGGGACTGAAGTCTTAGCCCTAGTTGGGGTCCCTACAGGCCAGAGCGTGGATGGAGGAGGCTTTCATCACAGTTGCCTTGGGATAAAGAGAGAAATCCAATCTCCAATCCTGTCAATCCGGCACAACTTTTGACCAGCTCTTGTAGATTGAATATGAAAGAGGCAAGGGGCCTGATTCTCAGCTGTACAAACCAGGGTGGCTCGCTCCAGTCACATCCCACAGACGGGGAGGTTGGCAGCTCGGTTTCCAAGTTTGTCCTTAATCTCTCACATTCTGCTCTTTTTGTTTTAGAGACTCCCTCCGTTTCCTTTTCTCTCCTATTTGCTTTTCTGTGAGCGGCAGGCAGCTGGCCTGCTCCACTCTGCTCCCCAGCTGGCTCTTCTGTCCTTTTTTTACAGTGAGTATCTTCTCCTGACTTTACTCCTGTGTAATTCCTGTGCTCATTGCTGCTCAGCTGCATGAAGCCTGCTGTTTCCTTTTCTAAGTCCAGTTTCACTACAACGCTGTGTGTACTTGATCGTTGGAAGAGGACTTTTTAGCTTACGGTTGCCAGCAGCTGCTAGGCTGCTGTGGGCAAACGTCTCAGCAATTTATACGAGCACTTAGCATGGGAAAAGCAACTCCTGGGAATAAAGACTACAAAACAAGCAGGTAATGTCTGTTTGGAGTAACAGTAGTGGTGATATGTGCATCTGCTGTTCATATACAGCATCAGCGCTGTGCTTGGATTTGTTTTTAAAGGAGGGCAGGAATATGTCCTAAAGTTCAGCTTGATTTTTTTTTTTTTAACTCAGCCTTTTCTCAACAAACTGACTTCACCAGGAATTCACATCTCCCAAGCGTCTGCTTTCCAGATACATTAGCACTGCATGAGGGCATGGGAGGGACAGAAAGGGGGGTTGCAGTACTGAGCTGCAGCTGGGCAGTGTCTTCTCACAGGACTCCATGGAGCAGGAGGCTGTGCACAAGTCGCAGGGCTCCACCTCGGCTTTCTCAGCTCCATGACCAGATGAGTGAGGTGAGCTAGACAGCACATCCCAGAATGGGTCAATTTGTTGCATCTGTAACAAGAAGTCACAGAGCAGCAGAGAGGTGATGCTGTGCTGTGGACGTGCGGGATTCTGGCCTGTGTGGGTAGAAGAGGGGGTAACAACCCTGACTGTATTGGTCACATGTTGAATGTGTCAATACCGACAGCTCTGAGATCTGGCCTGAGGAAGAACTAGGTACCACTCCAGTCAGTCACTCAGGATCTCACCCAGACTTTGCAAAACTCTGGTCAGCTGGTACTATCTTTTCACTCTCAGTCTCTTCTCTATCTGAGGGGGAAACAGATCCACTTGGACCAATAAGGGGAACTGCTGTTATAAGGAGGAGCTAAGCATGAATTTGTGTTGTCTGATGGGAATTCAGCAAGTAGTTTTCAGATTTAACAAGGTGAATCTCATGGACTGTATCCTCCATAAATCTTCCTTGGAATTTGCTTTCTTTCTACCCATCCTTCCACCTATCCTTATTCCAAAATCTCTCATAGCTTTCTTCCTAGCCAGTGGGCTATTCCCTGTAGCCTGATTCACAGACCTTTCTTCAAGCTGTTTTTACCTCTTCCCAGTCCCAGGCCATTCTCCAGTTTGCTATCCTGTTTTTCCTGTTCTCTGCTACCCCTGCTGCTGAAATGAACCTCTTCTCAAACTCGGAAAATCCGCTGTTGAAGAGTTTTCTTTTGACAATATAAATGAAATGGCTGGAGCGTGGGAGCTAATCTTAACATCACCCAGAGTCCAGTGCAGTCCAGGGAAACTGCATGTCCCAGCCTACTGCTCTACCTCCGTTTCAAATGTTTAATTTTCCAAAAAGCTGTGTGTTCACTGTGTTCTGCTGCCAAGCAGCATATGAACACCTACTTTACTCTAGTTGTCAGGGCGATACCCAGAGTCAGCACATCTTTTGAACACATTGACATGAAATGTTCCAGGTGGGAAAGAATCCATTAAGATTTACCCAGGAAAATCAAAGCTCAGGTCTTCTTTTGTTGCCTGGCTACCCTGAAAAGCTAATCTCAAGTGTTACAGAGGCTATTTTTGAAATAAAATCTTTTAAAATAAAATCTGGACTCAGTTGTGAGTGTAGACACTGACCACCTGGTCCTAGAGTCCTACTGTTCTCTGCAGGGAAATGGATTATAAGGATTAGGAAAGGTTAAAGCCATGACTACAGCGTGGTATAAAAAAAACGGAACCAGTTCCAGGCAAGGTTACCCAGGAATCAGCAGCATTACAAACTGGTGTGCGTAAGCATTCAGTTTGGGTTTGCGTACGCAGTTTGGGTCGCGATGCAGTGCGGAGAGGTTTGTGAGCTGATGAGGCTGAGCTGATGAGCTTGCTCTGCTGTGTGAGGTTGACATGCTAACGTGCTCCACCATGCCCATGATTTGAGTATCAGCATTTGTATGTTTTGCATCTCTAGCAATGAAGGGTTACTCTGCACACTTGAGAGTCTGTGACCACGTGGCTTGAAATGCCCCTTGGACAATATTAAGGGACCTGTCAGCCCTGATTTGGGAATGGCTCATATACAAGTTTAGGACCCTTGAATCTAGAGGGCTATAGGCATACCGTAAATTCCTTTGCTAACAGGAGGTGCTTCCCTGAATCACAGCTTCAGATACAGGTTGGTGGCACTAGATACTGATGTGACCCTAGCGATAGTGGTGTTTGACTGCACAATCTACCTGCAAACTCACAGAGAGGAAAACATGGTTCACCTTAATTGTGTGACTTAAGGGCACCTGCCTTGTTTTTTTTTGTTTGTTTGTTTTTGGATGTGTTGAGTAATCGTCTTGTTTGCAGCTGACTGGGACGATCCTTTTCATTGCTCTCCTGATTCTCTTTCTGCTGCTGGCTCTGGCTGCTCTTTGGTGGTTCTGGCCTCTTTGCTGCACAGTGGTAAGTACAGAATTTTATTCATTTGACTTTGTTTCTTCTCTTCTCTGCCTAAGGCCTGAGTTAAAGTGCTGGACTGAGCAGTTAACTTAGGGTTTTTTTGGTGTGTGTGTCTGTTGTAAGGCCCTGATACAGTGAAGTGCTTAAAGCACTTGTTTAAGTCACTGTGGTCCAGATTTTTTGAAAGTTACAAAGTCTAAGTGATTTTGACAATGACTGAGAAGTGTAAGTTTTAAGTGATTTCAGGCAGGGTTTTCAGCATGCAGATATTGTTAAAAGACTGGCCATTTGGAGCTTGTGGACAAGTCTCCAGTGAGTAGCAGAAAGTTATGAAGAGAAGCTGTTGTCAGTCAAGCTGCTCCGTAATCGGATGTCAGGTAGCTGCAACAGTGTAGTGCTGAACCCAAGACGTGGGAGTTGTTACCTTACTTTTAGCAAGAAGCAAAACCTATCATGCTGCTTCTCATTTCTTCGCATAGCACTGGACAAAGTGGCTTGAGTCTGCAGGGTGCCATGGATTCTGTATTGCATTTCGTTATGCCACACAGACAAGATCTAAATCTTATATGTCAGTGTAGTGTAGGGTGCTAAGTACACCTGCTGTTATTGACAAAGAAATCAGCTATCTAGATAATTTGAAATTTGCACCATAGGGTGAACTGATGCTTAAATATCATCACGAGTCACATGCTGCAATTTCTTTGGGCCTTTTTAAAAACATCTGTAAAATGCTATTGCTTTCACATTATTTGTTAAGCATTCAAGTCATAGGATTATATGTGGAGTTAAAAGTTCTGGGCACCTCACAGAGGCCAGTTAGCAGCTGATAGGCCTTGAGCCCTGATCTCTTTACTAACACGAACATTGATTCCAGTGTGAGTAACTAGTCTGCTGCCTCTGTTCAGATTTCATGCTGCTGTGTGCCATGAGTGATCACAATCATTTCAGTGAGGCTTCTCACAGGATTGATGCTTTGCACAGTCAAGTCCGGTGTTTGCAGAAGGGAATAGTAAATGAAATCAATATGTGTCATGGTGGAGGTGATTGGATTGCACGTGCGAGAGAGCCTTGACATGCTTCTGTCCTTCTTCCTGCCGCTGCCTGAGCTTGGCCTGAGTTTCTGTAGCTCCTACAGAACAGGCTTTGAAATCTGCTGAGGAAGAGCATAGTGCTAATAATATGTGCATATGTTGTTATTGCCCTTTTTAGATACAAGAGCTGGGTTTTTTTTTAATTCTTGGAAGCTGCAGATTGAGTGAATATTTTGTACTAGCTTGATAATCAAACGGCATATTTAAGGCAGAGCTCCCAGAATATGAAGCTACTTAATGAGGTGCTTCTTGATTAATTGGGTAGTTCAATGTGTAGATTTAGCTTCTTGTCTACATTTATTTTATGCTTGTTGAAAAGGAGTGGGACTAATGGAAGGATTGAATGTGCAGAGGCGGAGCAGGGCAACCGGTCTGTGAAGTGAGTGGGGAAGCAGAGAGGATGCAGCGCTGAGAAATGGGTGAACCCTGCCATTAACTCAAATTTATCCTATTCGTTATGTATCCCAGGTGATCAAGGAGCCGCCTCCACCACCACCTCCAGAGCCTGTAAGTATGCTATTTTTGAGCTGTCACAGTGTCTGCAGCCGCTGTAGTGTATGATTCTGCCCAGGAAGGTCAGTGCTGTAGGTGTCATAATGACACCTTGAAGGCAGTGAGAGGAAGTCTCTTGGGCCAGGACAGTTATTTCTGCCTTCTGGCTACTGTATATGCATATAGTGAGACTATTTCCATCCACAGAGAAAATAGTTACATAACTCAGAAGTTCACAGCCCTGCAGTTCGTATGGTATTTTGTTCCTTCTGCTGCACATCAAGTAGGTGCGTGTGAAAACCTTTGTTTCTTGAAAACACAGTAAAACCAGCGTGCTGGAGGCCATCCCTCCTCTGGTAAAGCTGCCGTGCTCTCAGCAGGAGCTTTGCCTGGGTCAGGAACGAGGGATGGAGCCTGGTGGCTGGAACAAAGGGCGACGAAAGCCACAGTCCTGTGGCTTTGGTGCAGGAGTGGGAGACGGGAGCCTGCCCTGGCTGCGCTTCTGCTGCAGAGTGACCTTTTGGCAGGACATTCAGCCTTTCTTCACCTAAGCTTTGAGCTTCTTTGAGGCAGGGTAGTATTTAGCTTTTTGGGACAGTAACACGCAGGGGCCTTAAACCTTGGCAGAGGTATCACTGTGCTATTTTGATAAAAGCAATAGTAACAAATGTATCTCCAGAGTAAACTCACGCCTGCCTGTATTCCTTTCCCAGACGCAGACAGTTAACCGATGGAAAAATACTTGCCTAACCCACAAGAGAAGTTTAAAGTTTGCTGCTAACTTGCTGTAACTTGGCATGAATATCAGGAGGCAACCACAGCTGCTGTTTTGAGGTTGCCAGAGGCCACCACTACTGTCTCTGTGATCCTGTTGTTTATCCTGGGCAGCAGTACTGTGACAATTTTGCTGTAGAATATGCACCAAAAATCATACCTCTTTGTGGGTGATTAGTGTTGTCGTGAAGCATGCAATTGCAGCCATACAGTGTTTGAGGGAGGTTGCAGAGTGCCTCACGCCCGTGGAGCAGAATTCCCAGATGCTTTGGGATTGTTCTCGTCAGCAGAGATTTTAAGTCAGCTCACAGTCTCTTTGACAGCATTTAAGCTTCCAGAAATAACACAGAATACAGATGTTATCCATCCATTTACTTGGCCATGTCTTTTCCACTATGGATGGTTGCTTTATTATATATAACACTAGCCTCCTAGGATACTGCAACCTTCCCTTTCGCTAATGTAGTCTGATATTGCTATTATTAAACTGAATGTAGTTATCTTAAAAAAACAAACAAACAAAAACAAAAAAACCACTTGTTCTAAACCACAATCATTAGCTTTCCATCATTTTTAAAAATCTATGTGGTGGCTGTTGATATTCTGTATGTGGCTGTATGCGTTCAGTGTAGAGAACACTTGGTATAAATTCATTTTTGAATGGACAAGTATAAGCCATCCCTGTTAACTGTATGCTGTCGGACAGACTGCTACGGTTGGGCTTGTCAGCAGCAAAGGTTGTTAGATGTGAAGACTTGAAATTTATATTATAGCCCATGGAAGAGGCAGGGTATTATAAATAGTGCTTAAGTTCACAATGAAGTGAACCACAAATTAAATAAGGCAGTTGATGTAATTCACGAGACACTGTCTTAAAAGTGGCACAAAATGGGAAAAAATGGGGTTGTTTATTTTTTTTTATGCTCCTCCAAAACAAATTCATGCCTTCCTAATAATGTATATTTTCCTGGCTTTAAACCTCCTGCCCCCTTACCAGTAATGGAATTATCAACTCTAGTCTTGCCTGGTCATATTAAAGAATGTGTTGGAGGAATTGACCCATGAACTGAGAGATCAGATGTCACTGAATAACTTATGGAGATACCTTTTCTCCATAGCATAATCTAACAGTTAAGTAATAATAAAAAAAGCATTTTTTTAAAGTTGTTATTGGCTTTTGGACTCTCAATTCTTTTCACATTCTAATAAAAACACATAGGACGACTTTGGAAAAAATGTCACCCAGTAATCTGATAATAATTTGTGCCCTTTTCTAGTATTTGGATTTGTCTTCTCTTCTCACAGAGAAAAACCAGGTCATTTCAGGCAAAGTATTTCTAGAATCATACTTACATTGATGAAAATTAATAGAGGGCACTGTGCGTGGCCAGTCCAAGAGCAGCACACAAATTAGTGTATGAGGTGTAGGTGGGGTGGTTGTTGTTTTTGGTTTTCTTAAGAGCATGAGGAAAGGAAGTGGTATGGTAGGAGTCTCACCGGGCCCCTTCCTCAGCTATGGCCATCGTTGGGGCTGGCAGGGAGAGCGTCATGGTGCGGCCATCGGCTGCGTTCACTCGGTGTAATGCCAGGGAGCCTGCGAAGCTTCAGTCGCTTCTGGGGCTGGGGACGTGTTCCCAAGGTGGTCGAACCAGAAACGTTTGCTAGCTTTTAGCTAAGCAAGAAAAGAACGAGGAACCCAAAGTAAAACCCTGAATCAGACTCTCCCACGTTCCAGAAAAAAATCTGCAGTCTTTATAATTGCAGGGCAAAAACTCTGGATCTGAGCTTCCTGAAAACTTGGAGATATTCCAGTCTCAGTCCCAGTTCCAAGCTGTACAGCTTGAGCGAGTCTCTACAAAGCATCAAGCAGCGCAGAGTAACTGGTTACAGCTGCCACGAAAAAGGGCTTGACGCACATGTTCGAAAACTCACAATAGTAGCTTTTTTCCCTATTAGGTGACATTAAGTTCTGAAAGCACAATTAATAAATGATTTCTTTGGGTAAACTGATTGCCATGTTTTCTGCATAGTGTAGTGGCAAGCCAGAATAATGTACAATTCATCTCTGCTTTGCCTTCCCTTAAAAGTCAGTTGTGATTTTGAAGCTGAATGCATATTTAACTAAATAAAAGCAGCCTGAAGAGGGGAACAGGCAATCCTCTTTGGCTTCTCTAGTTAAAATTGCAGCTGCAGAGACAAGAGACTTTTGTTTGTTATCAGCACAAAAGTGTAATACACAAAGCCAAGTATCCAAGGATCGGACCGTAGGATGCTCACTTGTTTTCCATAGCTTATGCCATTTATAATGGATATGCGAGAACAGCAGCAATATCTCCCTGTCTTTCCTATAGGAATCAGATGATGAAGATGGATTGCCAAAGAAGAAGTGGCCAACTGTGGATGCATCTTATTACGGAGGCCGAGGTGTTGGTGGAATTAAGAGGATGGAGGTATTCGGCTTGGGTTTTTTTTTTTTGCTGTTGTAAAAATCAGAGCATTTAATTGTAAATGTTATTGTAAATTTAATTGTAAATGTTAGCAATACATTTCTTTAGCAATACATAAGGTTTCTGCTCTGATGGAATAGAGACTGGGATTTAATTTGGGCCTGTCCACCTGATTGCACCTGCCAACCAAGCAGACAGACATGAAGCTGCCATCATTTGTGTCCATAATTGAGTCTAGCGTTATTAGCAGGAGCAAATTAACAAGTTCAGAAATGGGATAAGCACCAAAAGAAGTTTTAATTTACTGGATCAGATCCTTCACTGGTGCAGTGGGGTCCAGTTCTCTTGACTCAAGCAGAGTTAAGCAAATTTTGAGCATTTGAGGGTGCAGTGAACTCTGTGCCTGGCTGGAAGCAATTGGTTTTGAGAACTAAAACCAGTGATTTTTCAATTGAGCATTAACTCCTAATGCACTAAAAATCTGCCTGGGGAAAATTTCACTTTTGATCCTCCGTGGTGACATTGGCCAATAAATCAAATCCTACCCTGGGACTCATGCACAAGCCAGACTTGATGTGTGAAGTGAGGTATTATTGTGAAAGAAATTTGCCTTGTGCTATCGTATGGCTTGTGTGTTCCAGTGGATAATGCTGTAATCAGCTGCTAACACCTGTAAGTCAGCATAACATAAATCAGTTTAGATAAAATAAATCAGTTTAGTATTCTCAGCTGTGGTTAATATAACTATGAGGCAGGGAACGGGCACTCATTTATGTCAGCTGAGGTAATGGTGTCTTTCAGGGATGTCACACCAGAAACTCCCATTAGATCTAAAGAGTAGCTGAGGGAGTTACACTGGTATAAGGCAAACAAGGATCTGGACCAAACTGGGGCTAGCAGAGAGAAAGTAGTTGTTTCTCTGCAAGTCTGCGGTTGACATACTGTATTTTAATACTCCTGCACCGTTTGCCTCTAGAGAATTTCATTCTTGATGCTGAGTAGCTGAGCAGCCCCATGGGTCATACGCTGCCCTCGAATGCAGGAACATGTCTCCTTGAGACTGAGTCAGATCCAAAAAGCAGAATTTCAGGACAAAATAGTTAATGTATAGTATATGAGGATAAAGCTACCATCCTCTTGTGCGGTTATGCTAGGTCTTCTTTAGAGGAGCTGTTTTTAGCAGTAGCAGCGCAACAAGTTTGAGGGCTGGAGCTCTTAAGAAGCTTTTCAAATACTTGTCCACTGACCTTATTTTCGCTTTTGAACTAAATAACAGGAGCTCCTTAGGGCTAGCTGTAAAAACAGCTTTTATTCAACTAGTGCTGCTGCCCTCTTTTTGAAAGAGACGGTGGGAAGTATATTACAGCTGTGTCCTACCAGAGCAGAGTGCTTCAGCTTTCACTTGGAAACGGAGGTTAACCTGTCCTGGATGTTGTGACTCTCTCCAGGATCTCATGTTACCAGACAATGCAAATGCTGATGGTGTAGGCTGATTTTGAGAGAGAATATTTGACTCTTAAATGCATTTCTCAGATTACAGTGAGAGTTTGGTGCCTTCATGAATTTGGCTTCATGTCCGGTAGCATTTGGGTCATCTACTGGGTGCTAGGTTAATATTTGTGAAAACCACATGCCGGTAGGGACCGCTGAAGTGTTTTTACTTACAACATGCTCTCCCGACTTCAGGTGCGATGGGGAGACAAAGGATCAACAGAGGAAGGAGCAAAACTGGAGAAGCCCAAAAATGCTGTTATTAAGTTGCCAGAGCAGGAATATGAGCCATGGGAACCCAAGCCAAAAAAGCCTCACATGAGAAAACCCCCTTCCCAGCGGAAATGGTACACACCAATCAAGGTAATGTCTACCCCTCAGTTTTACAGCACGTCTCTCATGTCACGTGTGTTACTACATCCTGTGACCTCAGCACACCCTGTCTTATCGTGGCGGGGGGAGAGCCTATTTAGAAAAATGGGCAGGAGCCCTGAAATTTGCCCATTTGCTGGAACATCTGTTTCACCAGGCCCTGCAGTGCATCACTTATGGGGGGGGGGAAGCGTGGCAGAAGGGTTGGAGGGTGGAAGCAGAGATCTTCCTCCCTATTCTCACCTCTTCTTTTTGGGTACTTTTGAACAGACAAATTTGGGATATATGATACTGCAATCTACTGGGGCCCCTGTTTCAAGGCAGTGCCCATTGAAGACAGCACACACAGAGGTTCAGATGGAGCCTGCCCTCCTTGCTGTGTTTGCACTGTGATGACGGCCTTGGGTTGGGATTCAGTTCTGTTCCCTTCCAGTTCAGCCACAAGACATAGCATTTGATTTTGGGCAAGTCACTCAGCCTCTATGTGCTTTTTCATCCTTATTTCTCCCATGTCATTATAGTATCTGATGTCTCCCTGTCTCTGAGGTATGTATCCTCACACAACCCTTGAGAAATAGGGCAGTGCTGTTATCTCCGCTTGCAGACAGGGAAGCTAAAGGTCGAGTGCAGGCCACGTGAGTGACGTGCCATGCTCCACCAGGAAGCTGGTGGCAGCGCCCCAGACCAGTGCTTTATGCACACAGGGATAAGGCTGGGTCCATCCCTCCCCTCCCCCCCCCTTCCCTGGCTGCCTTGCAGGTAGGTTTAGCAGTACTTCCATTTACTGACTGGAAAATACCGGTGACTTTTGAAAGCCTATGTGGGTAGCTTGGTAGGTAGTCTTTTAGCTGTTTATCCACACTGTGTTTCATCTCCAGTCAGTACAGTAGACAGATTTTTATTATCTTACCTTTTGCAAACATATCACCTTTCAAACTGTACCTGTTAGGGAGGGTGTTCACATGAAGCTACAGTCATCCTTTGTGTGACCCAAGCAGGGTGGATTTGGCCATGTGTGTCACGTGCACATTACCCACCAGGGGCTTGGCTCTGGCTGTCCGGACAGGCAGTATGCAGAGGGCTGAGGGCACAGCAGCAAGTTATATGCAGACAGTTTAATACAGAAAGGTTTGGTCAAGTCAGTTGTCATTTAATCTCTGTTATTATCTCAAGCCTTTTTGGTCATGTCATATGTTTTTGATTCCAGGGCAAGCTTGATGCGCTATGGGCTCTGGTTCGACGAGGCTATGATCAAGTCTCTCTTATGAGACCGCAGCCGGGGGATAAGGTAAGGCGTCACAGACGTGCAGTCATGTCGCTTCTCTGTTAGCAGCAGCAGTGTGCTCTTCCAGCCTCCCAACCCCTGCCCTGCTGATTTGTTTGTTGTTGTTGTGCTTGTGTGTGTGTGTGTGTGTGTGTGCGCGTAAAGCTGTCTTGTTCCATCTTACCCTAAGGCTAAAAATTTATCACCAAATCCAGAGATCTCAAAATGAGCTTAAATGTTTGCTGTGGTGTCTATTTGTCCCAAAAAGTCAACAAGAACGTTTCCACTGAGATGATTGGAGCAGACTAGGGTAGAAGTGGGAAGCTGCAGCAGTGTACAAGCATCTTTTCATCACTATAGGTTCTTTGCCTTGCTTTCCTCGGCACAAATGTGTGGGAATCAAAGGATGGATTCTTTGTTTATGGGTTATTTTGGTTTTCATTTTAATATATGGTAGTAGTTTCACAATGCTAAATATCCTTCCTAGCCAACTGCAAAAAGCACTTTGCAGACTTAACAGTAGAGTTAAGTGGTTGCTAATAAGAGAAATAGTGAAATGTGCAGGTGATGAAGAAACAAATTCTAACAAATTTAACAGAGAATAGAGTTTCTGCAGAATTCCATGCAGAGCCACATTTCTCTGTTATATCCTGTATTTAGGCAGAGTTTTTAGTGCCTTGATAAATTCTGTTGGCCAAAATATAGATCAGGAGTGTGGCCTGGAAGATGCTGGAGCCAGGTGGCAGTCCTGGCCTGTAGGCTCCCAAAGGGTAGTTTCTAGAGCGTCTCGTTGGCTTCAGTTTCACTGTAGAATTAGGAATGATTTTTTTTGTTGTTGTTGTTTGCAAGAGTAGTCTATGAAAAGTGATAGGGGATTCCTCATGGGAACGGCAGGGAGTTTGTCCGCATCTCTCTGAGCTATGCACATGTCTGCCTGCACTCTGCCTCTGGGTTACTTACAATAGCTCAGTTAGGAGCTCTCTCACTGTTTCCCCATGTGAGCCTGGCACCATTACAGCTGTGTGCATTTTGTTATTCTGGGGGAACCACTCTCTGAGAATTGCTGCTTTGAACTGTTTCACCTTCAAATTTGGCTTCCTGCAGTGGAGCTTTGAAGCAGGAGAATCAAGCAAAGAGGGAGCTATTCTTCTCCCTCCCACTATTCCATACCCCCTCTCTGGCCAGAATCCGTACGTTTCATTACTCTTGCTCTCAGGGGAAGGGGCCATGTTACAGAGCTACAGCAGTAGGGGTCATAAAGGGCTTTTCTGGGGTGAGAGTGGTGCACAGGCCTTGTCTAGCTGGATGAATTTCTGTCTTAATAACAGACTTGGAAGGTAGCTCTGATCAGCTTCGTTTCGGGCAAGTGAGTTGAATCCCTCTGGCTTTTTTGGCAAAATACTGCTGTGGCATTTGGCTAATTATTAGCCAAGCACCTCAGCTTCAGTATTTAAGTGTCTTCCATTTTGCTTTTGGTGTATAAAGGAATTGGGGGAACAAACTCAGCTTCCTATGTGACTTTGTAAAACGATCTTTTAACTTGTTTTATTAAGCTGCATTTTCCTAGGCAGCTGTGCTCGAGACACCTTATTTACTTTTTAAGCACGATCTAGAGCTTCTGAATAGGCTCTTTAGGCCCAGCTGTATTTTGATAGCACTAACATTGTATAATATGAACCTATCCTCTGCCTTTCACTCGCTTGGTTGGTACATTTCTATCGCTGCAGAGCACAAGAGAGCCTCTGTTAGTCAGAGCGGTCAAGAAACATGCAGGGGGCTGGCTCCGAACAGGGATCCTCAGTTACTTTCCTCCCAGCTCTGCTGTGGGGAGGAGAAGGGACTAAAAAGGGGCTATGTAAACAGACCAAGCTGAAGGATTGTTGTATTAGGGCGAATATTAGAAAATCAAACATACATCTGGGAAAAAGGGCGGAAAGAAACCTATTGAGTCACACTGGGTAGGAGAATAGGATAACCTCTGTCCCCTGGTCTGTGAAACTAGCTAACGCCAAAGAATATTGAGAGCGAAGCAAGAAAGGGACTAGCCATCACTCTGTTGTGGAAATAAAGGGCAGCACAGTCCTGTATTTCATGGAGAAAGCTAACACAGAAAAGAGCAAAGTTATACATTGTTTGGTTGACTTTTCTAGTAGCAATCCCACAGCCCCAAATTGTCCCTTTCTGAGCTAGGCACTTGCTGGTGGAATGTGTAAATATGTCTGTACAGCCATACCTACTTAGGTGTGTACACACACACGCGTGTGGTTCCTGGTCTGAAGAAAGGGGAAATGCAGTCAGTGATATGAGCAGTTACCCTAGACCTGTAACGCTACCCGAGGTATGTACCTCCAGACCTGGAAATCCAGCTGCGCGGGGCTGGAGGAGGCCCGGCACTGGGGGGGGGTGGTATGCGCAGGGCAAGCATCAGCCTGACCGTGCCAGCCCAGGAGGAGCCCAGGTCACTCACGTACAGATGTGCTGACAGCAGTAAAGGCATTTTTGTTTGTGAGCGTAGTTATGGAAGTAGAGCGCGGCATACCCAGTGTGTGGCGCTCTTCCCAAGCTCGGCCCTCTGGAGGCCAGTGACCGTGTGGGTATCTTGGAGAGGTGGGCTGCTTTTGCTTTGTGGGTTTGTTTTGGTTTGGAAGAGTGGGGGGGATTCTCTATTTTGGTTTAAGATTGTTTGTTTGTTTGTTTTTGTTTTTGGTTTGTTTTTAAGGTAATTTTGTAGTCATCTTGGGTTGTTCAGGAAAACTTAAATCTCAGGAGGCAAAAAGAACACACGGTTGTGTTTTGGGAGTGACGCTTGCGTTTGTAGCTCAGAAAATTCCTATTATTTTGGATTTCCAGAAATCAGTCAAATTATTATTTTTGAATTTGCAAGGAGTATCAGTGATGCAGGATGTTTCTCACTGGGACTGGAAAATGTTAACTCTGGTGAGTTATCCTAGTGTGTTCCATAATTTACCTCATTTTTTGGAAAAAAGAAATGTTTATTTTGCACTTAAATTACTTCATCTGTGCTTGTGTTATCTTTTTGTAGCCATTGGGGATAATTATGGCAAACCGTTTTTTCTGCATAATGTAAATACAGATTATAGTGAAAGAACATTCGTAGTAAAGGGAGCAAATTTTTTTCACAAGGCTTTTGGGGCAAGGGAAATATGACAAAGAAAATTCTTTTTGATATTAAAACTTGTTTTAAAAGCTATTTCTAAAAGTGTTATTTTTGTTATCATTTGAAAAAGAGGGATTAGATTTGGGTTTTTTCTTCCGGAAAGAAATGAAAAATACTGATAGAAAGCCTTTTCCCTTGACATTTTTAATGGGAAACAAAATATGTTAATGTTTTTAGTTGGTTCATTGGTATCTCTCATTTTGTTACAGTTAGATGTTCTTCTGACCTGTTTAGCATCTTTCTGCACAACCCAGCCCTCTTCTCCTTGGCCCTGCAGAACACACAGGGAATGCAACATTGCCACCCCAAGCGCTCAGAACATCTGGCTTCTTCCCCCCCAGTCACTGAATGCTATTGAAAATGATACTGTTCATATTTTTTGAGTCTTAATCTGGTGCAACCCACTCCAAAGAGTGTGTGAGTGCCTTGCAGGGAAAATTCAGGAATTTCAGAGCCCCTGCCTTTCCTGGCCTGAGCAGGTCCCAGTGCTTTCCGGGCCACATCAGGGAGATGCTAGGAAAGAGATCCTGGGGTGGATGACCCAGTGGTATTACTCAGGATTGTATTAGCATATATGCTTTTTGGAACTGGCTATTTAAAGAAACTTGGGCAAGAAGAAGCTCTGGTGTCCCTTCTCCTGGGAGCTGTGCCCACAGTGTCTGGCTTGGCTCTGTAGACAGCTCCTCCTCTTTGTCTCCGTTCAGCGTCATGTCATGGCCCCACTACTGACATTGGCTATTATAAGTTTGTCAGTAGAGGGTAAGAGCCAACCCCCATTGTGAAGCCTACCCTGTCTGTAGGTCCCTGGGATCAGAGTTTGGGCAAGGGAGTTCTAGAGTCACCTCAGCGCACAGCTGGTGCTGTCTGGGGAGATGAACGTGGTTCACCCTGCTGGTGCCAAGCGGTGGCTGGGTGAGCTGGGCTGCTCTGCTGAGCCCTGTGCAGGCAGAGCCTGGCCGTCCGCTGGACAGCTGTGTAGTGAGAAGGAGTTTGAGCAGTTCCTACCTTCGGAGTGGGAGACCTGAGGTCGCTCCTCCCCAGCCATTTCTCATGTGCTGCGAGTGAGCAGAGGGCAGGAGGAAGGAGAGGCCTCCTCCAAGTTCACAGGGAGGAACTCTTGGCCACCTTGGCCCGCTCCAGAGGACCACACTCACTCAACTTCTGCAGGTCATCCATGGCAGGAGCATCTATTCCACAAGGATGGGACAGCAGGGGGTAAACACACACTTAGCACTACTCCGTCATTACCAGACAGGCTTCTGTTTGTGGTTTGCTGTTTGCTGAGCTGTCCAATAGCATCAGCATAGAAGCAAATGGATAAAAAGAGCTAGCAGCTCTGCCACTGACTGCGGTCCTTGCAGTAATGTACAAAGATGAAGCCTTAATAGGGGATTGTGCTATTGCTGCGCTGTTGGGTCTAAGGATAATTCTAGTTCATCCTAAGGCTGCTACTCTTCCCTTCCTCCCCCAGCAATTGGGGCTTAGGGAACCAACAGTCACTGTGTTGGTATTATAAAGGGATTGACAACTCTGTGGGTAAGACTCTGCTCATCCGGCAACAGTGAGCCCATCAGAGGGACCATATGGTTTGGTGAGCAGCATGTTGCTCAGATTACCTAGGCCCTTCTCTTTGCTATGTTTGGAGCTTCCGCTGTCACTCTTGTTTGGTGTCCTCCCTTACCAAGGGTAGCTTTGACACACTCACCTATGATGGCTCTTCAGCTGAAAAGTGCAGCATCAGGTCTGAGTTTTACATTGGCCTGAGTAGACTCAGAGAACATGGACAGATACTAAAGCTCCTCAGTCTTCTGGGAATGCATTTAGGAGACTCCCACTACTGAGTGAG